ATAGTGTCTTCACTCTAATATAAAATTAGCATAATGTAATCACTGTAATATAAAACTAGCATTTTATCATCACTGTAATATAAAACCAGTATAGTGTCTTCACTGTAAAATAAAACTAGCATTGTGTCATCACTGTAATATAAAACTAGTATAGGCTAAGCACTGTAATATAAAACCCGTATAGTCTAATCAATGTAATATTAAAACAGTATAATGTCATCACGGTAAAATAAGGCCAATATAGTTTCATCACTGTAATATAAAACCAGTATAGTTTCATCACTGTAATATAAAACCAGTATAGTGTCATTACAGTAATATAAAACAAGTATAGTGTCATCACTGTTAAATAAAACAAGCATAGTGTCTTTACTCTAAAATAAAACTAGTATAAAGTCATCACTGTAATATAAAACCAGTATAGTATCAACAATGTAAAATAAAGCCAGTGTACTGTCATCAGTGTAATATAAAACTAGCGTACTCTAATCACTGTAAAATAAGGCCAGCATAGTGTCATCACTATAAAATAAAACCAGTATAGTAACATCACTATAATATAAACCTCGTATAGAATCATCACTGTAAAATGAACCAGTATAGTGTCATCACGGTAATATAAAACTAGAATAGTGGCATTACTGTAATATAAAACCGGTAAAAAGTTACCACTGTAATATAAAACAAGTATAGTGTATTTACTGTATTATAAAACCAGTATAGTGTCTTCACTGTAATATAAAACAAGCATAGTGTCATCATAGTAATATAAAAGGAGTATAGTGTCTTCACTCTAATATAAAACCAGTGTACTATCATCAGTATAATATAAAACTAGCATAGTGTCATTAGTGTAATAAAAAACAGTATAGTGTCATCACTGTAATATAAGACCAGTACAGTGTAATATAAAACCTGTATAGTCTGATCACTGTATTATTAAACCAGTATAGTGACATCACAGTAATATAAAGCTAGAATAGGTTCACCACTGTAATATAAAACTAGCATAGTGCCATCACTGTAATATAAAACCAGTATAGTGTCTTCACTATAATATAAAATTAGCATAGTGTAATCACTGTAATATAAAACTAGCATTTTATCATCACTGTAATATAAAACCAGTATAGTGTCTTCACTGTAATATAAATCTAGCATAGTGTCATCACTGTAATATAAAACCAGTATAGTGTCATCAATGTAATATAAAACCAGTATCATCTAATCACTGTAATATTAAAACAGTATAGTGACATCACTGTAAAATAAAACTAACATAATGTCATCACGGAAAAATAAGGCCAGTATAGTGTCATCATTGTAAAATAGAACGAGTACAGTGTCTTCACTGTAAAATAAAACTAGTATTGTGTCATCACTCTCAAATAAAACCAGAATAATATCATCACTGTAATATAAAACAAGCATAGTGTCTTTACTCTAATATAAAACCAGTATAGTGTTATCACAGAAAAATAAAACTACTATAAAGTCATCACTGTAATATAAAACCAATATAGTTTCATCACAGTAATATAAAACCAGTGTAGTGTCAGCACTGTAATATAAAACAAGCATAGTGTCTTTACTCCAATTTAAAACCAGTATAGTGTTATCACAGAAAAATAAAACTACTATAAACTCGTCACTGTAATATAAAACTAGTATACTGTCATCACTGTAATATAAAACTTGCATAGAGTCATCACTGTAATATAAAACTAGCATAGTGTCATCACTGTAATATAAAACTAGCATAGTGTCGTCACTGTAATATAAAACTAGAATAAAGTCATCACTTTAATATAAATCTAGTATAGTGTCATGACTGTAATATAAAACTAGCATAGTGTCATCACTGTAATATAAAACTAGAATAAAGTCATCACTTTAATATAAATCTAGTATAGTGTCATGACTGTAAAATAAACCTAGCATCATGGCATCATTCTAATATAAGACCAGATTAGTATCATCAGTGTAATATAAAACCAGAGTAGTGTCATCAGTATCATATAAAACAAGCATAGTGTCATCACTGTAATATAAAACGAGTATAGTGTCCTGACTCTAATATAAATCTAGCATAGACCCATCACAGTAATATAAAACCAGTATAGTCTAATCACTGTAATATTAAACCAGTATAGTGACATCACTGTAAAATAAAACTAGCATATTGTCATCACGGTAAAATAAAACTAGCATATTGTCATCACCGTAAAATAAGGACAGTATAGTGTCATCACTCCTATATGAAACCAGTGTACTGTCATCAGTGTAAAATAAAACCAGTATAGTAACATCACTGTAATATAAAACTAGTATAGAATCATCACTGTAAAATGAAACCAGTATAGTGTCATCACAATAATATAAAACTAGAACAGTGGCATTACTGTAATATAAAACAGGTAAAAAGTCACCACTGTAATATAAAACAAGTATAGTGTCTTCACTGTATTAAAAAACCAGTATAGTGTCTTCACTGTAATATAAATCCAGTACATTATCATCACTGTAATATAAACCAAGAATAGTTTCAACACTGTAATATAAAACTAGCATAGTGCCATCACTGTACTATAAAACCAGTATAGTGTCTTCACTCTCATATAAAATTAGCATAGTGTAATCACTATAAAATAAAACTAGCATTGTAACATCACTGTAATATAAAACCAGTATAGTGTCTTCACTCTCATATAAAATTAGCATAGTGTAATCACTGTAAAATAAAACTAGCATTGTAACATCACTGTAATATAAAACCAGTATAGTGTCTTCACTGCAAAATAAACTAGCATTGTAACATCACTGTAATGTAAAATCAGTATAGTGTCTTCACTGTAATATAAATCTAGCATAGTGTTATCACTGTAATATAAAACCAGTATAGTCTAATCACTGTAATAAAAAACCAGTATAGTCTAATCAATGTAATATTAAAACAGTATTATGTCATCACGGTAAAATAAGGCCAATATAGTTTCATCACTGTAATATAAAACCAGTATAGTTTCATCACTGTAATATAAAACCAGTATAGTGTCATTACAGTAATATAAAACAAGTATAGTGTCATCACTGTTAAATAAAGCTAGCATAGTGTCTTTACTCTAAAATAAAACTAGTATAAACTCATCACTGTAATATAAAACCAGTATAGTATCAACAAGGTAAAATAAAGCCAGTATAGTGTCATCACTGTAATATAAAACTTGCACAATGTCAACACTGTAAAATAACACTGGTGTAGTAACATCACTGTATTATAAATCCAGTATAGTGACATCACTGTAAAATAAACTACCATTGTGCCATCATGGAATATAAAACTAGTATCAAGTCATCATTGTATTATACAACCAATATAGTGTCATTTCTGTAATATAAAACTAGCATAGTGTCTTTACTCTAATATATAAATAGTATAGTGTCATCACTGTAATATAAAACTAGCATAGCGTCTTTACTCTAATATAATGCCAGTATAGTTTCACCGCTGTAATATAAAACTAGTATAAACTCATCAATATAATATAAAACTAGCATAGTGTCTTTACTCTAATATAAAAAGAGTATAGTGTTATCACAGTAATATGAAACTACTATAAAGTCGTCACTGTAATATAAAACCAGTATAGTTTCATCACTGTAATATAAAACTAGTATAAAGTCATCACTGTAATATAAAACCAGTATAGTTTCGTCACTGTAATATAAAACTAGCATAGTGTCATTACTGTAAAATAAAACCAGTATAGTAACATCACTTTAATATAAAACCAGTATAAAATAATCACTGTAAAATGAAATCATTATAGTGTCACACTGTAACATAAAACCAGTATATTTTCATCACTGTACTATAAAACCAGTATAGTGGCATTACTGTAATATAAAACAGGTATAGTGTCATCACTGTTATATAAAACTAGCATAGTGTCTTTACTCTAATAAAAAACCAGTATAGTGTCATCACTGTAAAATGAAACCAGTATAGTTTCATCACTGTAATATAAAACAAGTATAAATTCACCACTGTAATATAAAACAGTAATAGTGCCATCACTGTAATATAAAACCAGTATAGTCTAATCACTGTAATATCAAACCAGCATAGTGTCGTTACTCTAGTATATAACCAGTATAGTGACATCACTGTAAAATAGAATTAGCATACTGTCATCACTGTAAAATAAGGCCAGTATAGTATCATCCCTGTCATATTAAACCAGTATAAATTCACCATTGTAATATATAACCAGTTTACTGTCTTAACTGTAATAAAAAAACCAGTATAGTGTCTTCACTGTAATATAAAACCAGTATAAAGATATCACTGATATACAATTATTCAACCAGGTTTTCGTTTGAATCTAACATCATAAAGCGCACAAAGTTCACCAGCAAATGTTGAAATTGTTTTTAAAATCTCATATTTATCATTTCATCAGAACTTACGTTTTAAGTAATATCTCTCATGGTCTAATTAGAATTACAATATCCGACTATTCTCTACCGTCACATATGTAGGTTAATAGAACATCTTAACCAGTTTTTTTTTTTTTACTTTTTTATAGCGATATAAGACGCGAAATCTTTTTTTAAAGCAAGAAATCAAGGTTTTACTCTTATTTGAAGAAACGCGGATTTGAGTCATTAGAAGTAATATGGGTTTTAATTATGTAAGAAACAATAACAATGTATTAATATACAATAACTACGATATGATACCAGTATAAAGAACACACTTTTGTACCAATTTCAGAAATACTGATATACGAGATACCAATATTGTAAAAACATTGTACTGGTATAAAAAACGGTTTTCTACACGTATATGTAAGAAATGCATGTTTGAAGTGAGAGAAAAAGCACAGTTTTGGAAAAAAAAACGGTTAAAACCAGTTGAGAAATACATCGTGCAAAAAATTTATGTTTAAAGCTGGTAGGAATAGGTGCCTGAGTAATATTACCAGTAAGTTACTCACCATCGTCATCAGATTCTTCTTCATCATGCTCTGCAGAAGCATCATCTAGAGGGATGTTTACATGTGGCTGTGGAATGCAAAGAACAATAATTTAACACTCACACGGAACCAGAAATGCAGCTTAATTAGCAATTACTACTATAATTACTCTAGAAATAACGTGTAATACAAAATATAGTCATCATTATGGTACCTGATGATGACAAAACCTTGTCGAAACATTGTACATTTGCTGTTATGTTAAACTTATATTAAAGTTTTTCTTCATTACCCATTCAAGCCGTCTCCAGCCATTAATAGTCATCAGAGGTCAAGAAACACTTCCCAATAGCTTCCTTCACAGTTCAAGAAACCTAATAACCCGAGCACTTCCGGAAATCTTTCTTCACTGTTCAAGCAGCCTAATAACCCGGGCACTTACGGAAATCTTTCTTCACAGTTCAATCAGCAATACAATAACCCGAGTTTTTCCGGAACTCTTTCTTGACTGTTCACCCAATAACCCGAGAACTTCCGGAAATATTTCATCACTGTTCAAGCAGCAACCCTATAACCCGAACATTTCCGGAAGGTAAACCTTCCTCTCTTTCTTTCGTGCTATATTAGATTTATCAAAATAACTGTTGTTGTTTCCTTAACTACACTAAAGGATATCTGCAATCTGTCCACCACTGAGATTCAAACCCCGGATTTTAGCGTTGTACTTACCATTGAACTCGTCAGGAGACATTAGAATTGCTCGGTTAACGAATTTCTTGATGAAGAGATGTACTCAAGTGTCTTGAATTGTGTTACTTTTTTCATGTGTTAAAAATAAAAGGTTTAGAATTCAAATGTATCAGTCACTACATGCTAGAATTTTCACCACTAATTTCGATAAAAAATACTAATTTAAACTCATGTACTGCTTATATAATCTTTCAATAAATGAAATTAGAAAATATCAAACAAAATTTAAACAAAAGAAACCGGTTAATATATACACTTTAATAACTATTTATCAACACAATATTTATAATATTCTACAGAAATCAATTTGTCAATAAAGTAAGATAATACTCAAAATAATATATTAATCGAGATGAGAATATCTGATATAACTTATGATAGAATATTCTCATCCTAATTTATATAAATTTTGCCAGACTATTCTTAGATTAATACAATAAATAATCAAACACATTTCAGCTATTATGATGGAAATATCTGGCATAATTTTTCCATTAAGTTTGTTTGTTTGTAATTATGCACATAGCTACAGAATGGGCTATCTGTGCTCTGCTCACCACGGGTATCGAAACTCGGATTCTAGCGTTGTAAGTCCGCAGACATACCGCTGTGCCACTGCGGGGCTTTCCATTAAGATGAGAACATCTGGCGTAAGTTAATAATTAAGAATATTATACGAGACATAATATATTAAAATGATTATATGTGGCATAATTATTAAGATGAGGATATCCGGCATAGATTATCAATTAAGATGATAATATATTATATAATTCTCAATTAAGATGATATTATGACATAATTAAACAACCACTATAAGGAAATCTGGCATAATTATTTAATTCAGATGAGGATGTATATTTAACAATGTAGTAGTTGAAATGAGAATATCTCACTTAATTTGTTAATTAATACAAGAATTTCCTACATAATTTATCAATCAAAGTCAGATTATCTAATCAGAGCTCTTAATTAAGTGAAAATATTTGGCATAATTTATTAATTCATATCAGAATATCTAATATGGTTTATTCGTGATGTTAGAAAAACACGTAGGTTCAAGAGGTCTTGACAGAAATGAGTAAAAACCTTATAACCGAGCGTTCTAGTAGTAGTAGTTACTTTACTTACGTTAGTACGTAACTACGTACGTACGTACGTACGTCGTAACGTAAAAGGTAACGTAACCGTTACCGTAACGTAAC